CTCCGCCGCCGGGTTCCTCCCCTGAGGCCGCTCGGTTTCATGCTGCCGCCGTCCCGCCCTGGCTGTGGGGTTCTGTAGGTGCCGACCCGCCGGGGGGTCCCCACGGCCAGGCCCGGGTCGGCCCTTCTGACAGCGAAGCACCCCGGGCCTTTACGCCTCAGGGTTAATGTACTCGCCCCCTAAATCAGTGCCAGCATTTCAATTCCCGCCATCAATAGCGTGGCCTTTCAGTCCTGGCGGGTTTCTCTTTATCCACGAGTTTTTGATCTGCTCCCTTGAAGTGCTCTGGCAGCAACAATTAAGACGCGCACGTCTGGCTTTGCTCTTCCTGGGGATTTTTTTTTTTTAATTTTGTATGTCCCGATGCAGCATCCAGCTCTGAAATGGAGATGTCGATAAGGTGACCTACAAAGGGAAAAATGGCTTGTGCTCTGTTTTGCTCGTTTGTGGTATTTAAAGAATCTGATTTGTTTTGCCCTTTTCCTAACCCTAAAATATCAGTAGTGCCAGGTTAGTTTTGCTGCAGAGCTTTATTATCGGGGAGCTTAAATACTTTTGGGAAAACCTAATTGGTTACTTATCTACTGAGAGAGTGAGTAAGGTATGGCGTTTATAACAAAAGGATTTTCTAGGCTGTTACCAAGCATTTGAATTAAACGTGCATTAATGAAAACAATTTCAAAGGTTTTGAGCAATTGGATTAAAAACCTTTCATCTTGTTTAGTGCAGAAGACGTTACAGACAACTGAAGAACACACATGGCTGTGAGTTGCAGGGGCCAGAGACACTCGTACAAAGAAATTATTCTAGCATAAAAATCCTAAGAAAAAATTACTCTTAAATAATTGCCAGAGCTTTCACTGCCCCTGGTGAGTAGCTGTGTTGGCTCAGGGATAAGCCCAGAGTTCAGGAAAGGGAACAGATTCTGCCCTTTCAGCTCTCAAACACTGACACAAAACCACTGAGGAGAGAGGAATAATTCTTGTGAATGTCAGGAGAGATCCTATCAGCGTTAAAGGGCCAGAATAAATTCTTCCCAGTAGCACACTGACTGCGGTGGGACTGCTGTCCGCACACACCTTCCCAGGGGCTCCGATCCTCGCAGTTTGAAGTTTGTAGGTGAAGGGGAAAATACATGCTTAGATTGCAACCAGTGCCCCACCTTTTCTTCCTTTTTCCTCCTCTCCCTCCCCAGAAACGGCGCTGCTTATTCCCAGTGGAAACGGACAGGTGAGGGACAGCTGCTGGGCCCCCCTGAGACCATCAAACACTTTCACAGCAAAGCTGGGCTCTGGACTGGGGACACTCAGCCTTTGAACTGCAAGCAGGTGGTGCCATCAGCCCACTTTGGCTGCCTGCTTTTCACCAGCACCACCCTGACCCATTTGTTTCAGCTGATTGTGAAATGATAAAAAAGGAAGATATCTCTAAAAAAAAAAAAAAAAAGGAAATTTTTTTTCCCAAAGCCTACAAGATGTTTCAAAGCTAAAATTGGTTCAACAAGCAGAAATGGCGATTTTGTCAGCACCCAATTCTAAGTAGAGACAGAGCACACATCTCACTTGAATTACACTTTTATCAGAAGCTTTCAAAGCACTTTCCCAAGGTGAGCAGTAGTATCAGTGTTTGGATTCTGATGGGAAACCAAGTCCCAGGAAATTAATACACCAACATCCAGCCTGCCCTGATGGGAAGGGATGTCGCTTGGGTAGCCGCAGAGGGAGGGAGTTCGCAGGCCCTCTCCTACACTACCTCTCCATCCCAGAGTACGAGGGTCTCCGTGCTTCCAAAAATTGGGAGTAGGGTCCTCAAGTGGGGCACCGGCACCCAAGAATTGGCAGCCTAAGGACCTCTGTGAGCCTGGTCACTGCTGTCGGTGGCTGGGTTAGGACTGAAGCCGGCTCCCCCCATTCATGCATTCTGGCCGTACTGTGCTGTGTAACCTTCTAGCCACAGCTCCTTTCCAAACCAAAATGAGAGTGGTAAGACCAAAGTCGAACTCCTTAATTACTGAGATTCACTGCTGGCATCTGAGCTCTGTTCTGCCAGGGTTGGAAGAGGGAGGAGGTGGTATTTAGAGAGCCAGAAATTCAGGAACCAGTAACTCTCCAGCCTACAGCTGAGTGTAACATGCTGACATCTGGCTGAAACTCTCGGCAGTTCACTTGGGTGATGCTGAAACGCTCCGGCAGCTCTGCTAGGAAATAAACAGAGCCAGACAGGTACGGGCTCTATAAATGGATCTCGCCCGCAGAGCTCATCAGGCCTCCTGACAGATATACATCTCGCAGGCTGGTGCCATTTCTTCTGTTGTAGCCTCGGTGATACGTTAATGTTTGAAGATTAAGTTGGCTTTTCAAGCAGGCTTTTAACTCCATGAGACAGGCTTTTCTGACAGCACTTCCTTGCGCATTTTGAATTACTGATTTATTTTGTCTATTTTTAATCTGATCCCCTGCTTCAGACTCATTCTCATAGTGCAAACTGTGCTCTCATCCAGAGGGACTCCTTCCAAGAGATTATTTTAATAAATGTTTGTATTCAGCTTCCTACCAACCTGAATTCCTCAAGGGAAAATTCTCCCTGGGAAATCTAGTGATGTTCAAAGGACTGAATCTGGAATATCTGAAGATCCAAATCCCAGCACTTTATCCTTCCAAGGTGGAGAAACCAAGTCTCGTATGATTTTCTAATGGCAAGTCTCACCACACCTCCTGGTTTTAAGTTTTGTGTCCTGTTTCTTCCCTAAGGAGGCAACATGGGCCAAATCTTGCCTTTTTCATCTCATTTCTGTTTGCTTGCCTTCCACAGAAATGATCGCATTTTTGCAAAGAACTTAGGAATAGAAGTTACTGTGTACGCACCAGTAACAGACAATGTAATGAAATGATTGATGACCAACTTATTTGTAACATGCCTTAGATCTGCCACTTGGGATAAGACATTTGAACCAAAATGTGTCCCATCCTACCTCTAAGACGGCAAACCTAGGCAAAAAATATAATTTCTAATCTTAGGCAGTTCTGTTTAATTTAGCATTAGGGCATTTGCGATAAGCTAGCCACCACCACATCTCTCAAGTAAAAGAAAAGTGGAGAGAACAGCGGTGCGGGGCTCTCACAGGAGTGGTGGGAATTGGAGAAGCTGGGGACCAACAGCCACCATCTGTGCTGTTTTGGAGAAGCGCAGAAAAGCTTTTGATAGCTGAGAATACAGGAATTTTTTTGCCATTTCCATTTGATGAGTTACTTCTTACTGTCGTTAGTTTCAACCTCACAAGGTGAGCAGGACCATTTCACATGCTGCTCAGCTTATCTGAAGCTGTATGTTGTGCACCTGGAATAGACAGGGGCAATTTTTTAAAGCACGGCATGGAGACCAGACGAGGTAAAGCTAAGAGGAAATCAGTATCTGGGAAATTGCTGCAGGATCCTAACACTGTGTCCTTTGTCAGTGAAGGATTGGCACCAAAATAAAACTAGCTGGCATGTGCTTCATCCAAGGACCCTAGGGAGGTTACGTCTGCATGGATGTGACTGAAATCCGGCAGTTCCAGCTGGAGAAGGTACCTGTGGCAGCTTGTACCTGGCTGTGCACTTCATTGGGCTTGCACTGGTGTAGGCTTGGGTTTAGAGGGCAAATAGACAGTTACCCAGTGCTAACCTGAAGCGATGATCTGTGAGAGGTAACGGGAGTGTTACATTCCTCATGGTTTGGGAGCCCGTGGATGCTGACAACACTAGCTGCAGTCAGGAGGAGAGATGAGATGAAACTGGGAAGGTTCTAGGGACAAATCAAAGAGTTATTCTAAAGAGAAAAGCTGTTCATTTTGCAAAACAAGTTTGTCATCTGTTGTGCCAAATTATTTTGCTACTACCCCTAAAATGAAGTTCCCATGAGGAATGCTGTCACACATCTAGTACATTTAAAGTGTGAGTGCTACTGATAAGTGCAGAGCAGCTCTCAGGCTGCGAGGAGTGCAGAACAGCAGCCAGAGCCACCCTCCTGCATGTGCAGGGGCTACCAGCCCTATCTGCGTGACCACCCTACTGAAAAAAATGACCAGGAGAACAAAGATGATAGTTGCTAGCTCAGATACACGCTGCAACATGGATGGATGCAAAACTGGCTCCGAACAACACTGGATCCTATCACAGTCCGTAGCATCTTCGTCCAGAGACGTCAGCAGCCAGAGCACTCATTGTGGGACTCAAGCTGAGCCTGAAGTGCCAGCAGCAGTGGGGATTGCAGCCATTTCTCCTGCTGGAGAAGTAGCCTCGCTAGCCAGAGTCTGTAGCCACCTGGCACTGAAGGAGTCTGGTGGAGGAGCTCCACAAATGACCCTTTGGGTCCTGGGAAGATCCGAAGGTTTTGACTAAAGCTGGGACAGGAAATCCTGGGGACAGAAAAGCTGCTCTATTTATGCTATTTCAGAACTCCTAAGCTCTATACACCCGAGAGAGCCTGGAGGGTTTTTAGAAATTTCTGCTGTCTCCCGCAATTAATCTGAAGTCATAAAGAGAGCTTGTTGTCCTGTGAGTCTTGCTGGGTCCAGCCGTGCATGACAGGAACCCAAACCAGGCAGCACAAGGAAACCCCTAGAACGATG